CTCCAGAAAAATCAGTGTGTGAATAAAAACAAAAAAAAAAAAAAAAAAAAAAAAAAATGAAAGGTTCAATGCTCAAAATCTTAATCGAGTGGTAATAAATTATCGGGTGAGGTGAGGTGAAAGTTAAATATCAGGGGATTTAAATTCTTTTAAAATTACACGGTGGTTTAAGAGATATTTCTAAGTATAAATTTGGTTCATTTAAAGAGAAAACTATTTTCTTGATTATTTATACTACACACACACACACACACACACACATATATATATATATATATGAAGAAATATAACCTTAAGGTGTGCTATATTTATGGGATAAAGTGCTCAATATCAGGGATAGAGTGTGTGTTTATATAAAAGTGAACATAGAATAGAAGTCAACACTTAGAGGCGACAGTCTGTTTCATGCTGGGCGCAATCATCAGGCCACCAAAGATTGCGTCTAACATGAAACAGCCTGTCGCCTCTAAGTGTTGACTTATGTTCACTTTTATATATATATATATATATATATATATATATATATATATATATATATATATATATATATATATATATATATTTCTTGCAACTCCTTTTCTTTCTGGCAGTTCAGATATCATTTACACACACATACACACACACACACATATATATATATGTAGTTTTAAGGTGTGCTATATTTATGGGTAAAAGTGGTCAGTATCAGAGAAAGAGAGTAAATATGTCCAGAAAAAGGCGTTTACGCATGAAACTGGGTGTTGCTATTCGGTGTTGGGTTCAGTGTCCACTCATATATATATATATATATATATATATATATATATATATATATATATATATATATCAAGATAAGATGAGAACGAATAGTGTACAATTCTAGCGTTCATAGTATTTAATTTAAAAGTGGGCTCAGTACAATGTAGAGCAATATTTGTTATTTTAGGAATTGAGTAATGTAATTTTCAGTCGCCTGTCTGACATATGTTTGGTGTAATCTCCTAAAATAATATATATATATATATATATATATATATATATATATATATATATATTAAATGCAGTGTTGGTTGTAATAATATAAACGTCCTTAATGTAAAATAACACAACTACAATTTCTACGCATTTGTTTCTCATCAAACGCGATTATATATATATATATATATATATATGTGTGTGTGTGTGTGTGTATATATATATATGTGTGTGTGTGTGTGTGTGTGTGTGTGTGTGTGTGTGTGTGTGTGTCATATTAGTCTTTTGGGGAAAGATGTGGTTATAGATAGCATAGTAGGAATTTGTTTCCGTGTTTGTATTTGGAGATTGATTTGCTATTTAGGTTATTATCGCTCCTTTCTCTTAGGTAAATGTTTATAAGCTACATAACATTATTATTATTATCATCATCATCATCATCATCATCATCATCATTATTATTATTATTATTATCATCATCATCATCATCATCATCATTATTATTAATTTTATTTTCCTTTGATTTCTGGCGTTTACACATTTCTTTCCGGGTCCCGCCCAGGGACCTCAGGTTAGAAATGGCATCATGACATTTTCCACTGACAAAAAAAAAAAAGAAAAAAAAAAATTACATAGATAAAACCCTTCGTAAACTGTGGGCTGTACTTGACAGAACAAGTTTTATATTATTATTATTATTATTATTATTATTATTATTAAATAGAACAGATGTAGAATGACTGCTGAGCCTTTTGGTGCGTTTTTCCTGATGTATAAATCCTTTGATGAAACTTGTAAAGGAATTTCGATCATCGTTGGTTAATTTCAAGGAAGAAAGCTCGGCCGACATTACCTGTCTACTCTATTTAATAAAACATCATTAAACGAACGATTGCTGTCTAATTATTTTCTATTTATGTGAACTCACACACAGAGACACACACACATTTGAAAAAACGACTTGTTTATTTTTGTTTTTTTGCTTTTTTTTAACAGTGTCAATTTTAGAGATGTGTGAAATAATGTTGGATAAAAAATACATTGATTTCTTAGAACACACACACGCACACACATACACACACGTGAAGAAGAAAATTTAATTAAAATATTAACCTAGCTTAAAGTTCAATGTTAAAGCAAAAACTAAGCTAAAAAAGCAAAAAATATTAAGTATAGGCTTACAAAATAATTCAAAGTCGATAGTCCGGTTCATACTCCTCCCCAGTCTTTTGAACAGGAGTAGAGGGTTATCCCTTGTTTCCTGTTTGGGATTGGGTTTCCGGTTCCTTCTAAAGTTTACTTTCACACTATATTTCTAACATTTCCGACTGAGTTCTGAAATATTATTCATTAATTAAATCGTGACAAATACAAATCTGGAGTTAGCTGTTATTTTTCCCGCATGGCCACAGGAACTTCACTTCTTGCCCTTTATTTTCACTAAAACAACACCACATTAACGATCTATCTTAAGTGGCTCTTAGGCCTTGTATTGCGTGAATCATTAGCTAAAAAAATAAATTTAAAAAAATTGACATATCTTCCCGATAAATGAAATGCATAAATAAGAAAGAAGCGCTTCAGTACATATTGTTTAAACACACTCACACACACATATATATATATATATATATGTGTGTGTGTGTGTGTGTTTGTGTATATGTGAGTGCGTGTGTCTATATATATATATATATATATATATATATGTGTGTGTGTGTGTGTGTGTGTATGTCTATCTACATATATATATATACACAAACACACACATATATATGTGTGTGTTAGTTTGTGTGCATCTATCTATATATATGTGTGTGTGTGTATATATATATATATATATATATATATACATGTGTGTGTATGTGTCTGTATATAATGTATGTGTGTATTTGCGTATCTATATACATATGTGTGTGTGTTTCATGTATATATATATATATATATATATATATATATATGTGTGTGTGTGTGTGTGTGTGTGTATATCTATCTATCTATCTATCTATCTATATATATATATATATATATATATATATATATATATATATATATATATACACCAGGCTTTGAAATGACTGATATTTCCTCCTTTTAAAAACGTGTGAACCATTTTTAGTATTCTTTGAGAATTTTTTCATTTGTATATTGACCAGATTTTGCATTGGCATATTTTTCTGCTTCCTCATTCTTGCTGATCTTTCCATTTCGTGATTTTTTTTATTTTTAAAAGAAAACTCCCCTCAAGAAAGGCATGTATTAAAACCTCCCTGCGCGCTGTCTCATCGCCAGTTCATGTTCTTACTTGTACAGTTCGAGTGGACATTCAAATAGAGTTTTTCTAAAAAAAAATAATATAAATGTAGTCACATCACATCCCGAAAAATGTTTGAAGACATAAAAAAAAATGCTGAGAAATAAATGTCGGCTAAACGAATTTATATCTTAATTTCTAACCGCACCTTCAGGATAACTCTAGTTCTTGTTCTTATCTTTCAAGCAGTGTGTAGTAAGTTCTTTTTTCAAGAGGTACGCCACAGGTGTCTTTCTCTTGAAACTGCAAACCGTCTATTTCGAGTGAATGAAGGTTAGATCCTATATCTTGCAAGCCGTTGTACATTAGTATATTCTGTAAGAGATATTCCACAGTCACTGCCTTGGGACAAACTTTATCTTGGGTACTTATCTCGAAAGCCATGTAAGATTGTTGTAGAATGGCTTCCTCCTACTTATAAATATGTCAAGTAGCCACATTAGAATAGGATTTGAGTAGTATTTGATTTTTTCGTTCTGTGCAAGAGTATTTAATAAACTCTTCTTTGTTTTCCCTAGTTGCCCTTCTGTTACTTCAATACTCTCTCGGACGACGACCTTCCTCATTCTCGGCTATTTTGAACTAACATTACAACAAAGATCTTTCATACGCGTATATCATCTTTTACCGAAGTTGATTTGACCAGCAACTGTTTAAACACGCCTGCTATTGAGCAATACATACGTGGGAAGCGGTTGCTACATTTTATTTTTTATTTTTAGTTATCTGTCGAAGGTAGTGTTTGCAGGGACAACCTTAGAGTTTTATTCATAGAGATGTTTGTGGACTCAGTCCTCATTAGAAGAGCAATGTAGGGATTTATAACTGAAATATTTTTGCACAATCTACATGCATATGGGGCTGTTGGTATAGTGCTTATCTCACAAGCTGTGATTTTCTTCACCAGGTAAGCCATGTCTTGCAAGGTTTGGTTTGTTAAAAAATCTCGGAGTTTTCTGTACTCATTCCGATGAGTTCGATATGTCGTAGGTGCTCCACGGCTGTGGCACTTTGCATAAATTGTTTAACCTCGCGATTATATTGCCGTTTTCAAGTATGTTCTGACGCTAGAACAAAACAAATAACGTTCATGTTGAAAAATGTCACCAATAATAATAATAATAATAATAATAATAATAATCTCAGATTTAAACAGTTTGTGTAAAGCGTAATAAATACCGGTATCTTTCAGAAAAGTAAAAAAAAAAAAAAAGTAAAATATTAAGGTGACAGTCATGCCTTTCATTACTGGAGTAATAGGAGCAGTCCGGAATAGATTTGCAAAATGACTCTAAAAATTGGAAATCCTAGGAACAGTTGAAACCATTAAGTTAACAGTATTATTTAAAAAAAAAAAAACAGGTTGAATACTGTGGAAGGTGCTGGAATATTAAGATGTCAAACTGCTACTTGATCTCCGTTGAAAGCGACTGTAATGCATGAAACGTTTCCCAGGATAATTCCCAAGAAATCCCGTAGAATGGGTGATCCGAAAAAAGATAGGAACTCTGTAGACAATGGCACTGTTGGAATCGTTGAAAAATGGTGAAGTATTGTAGAGACCTGTTGTAACTTGACCCCCCGACGAGTGACACCAGACTTGTGTGAACATTCATGAAATAGTAAAGATGTAATAATCACTGCCTCTATTTCCGCAGTTATCACCCACGATTGGTTACATATATATATAAATTTTTAAAGTGTCATTTATTTTCCCGCCGAAAACTAGACGATGCTATACGACTGTAGCAAAATTTCGTTTCGGTTGTTCACCCCAGACTATCACAGAAGGCGAAAGTTGCTGTTGCTGATGTTGATGCTGTTGGAGTATATCTTTTTCGTTGACTCGTTCGTATATCTTACCGTCCCTGTCCATCTTTGTGTTAACGTCCTTGTACAAGCTGGCAGCTTTCTCCGCAAAGGAGGGACACGTCGTAACGCGATCACATTTCTCGCTGAAGTGGTCAGCCACGTACAGTTGAGCCTTGGTCAAACCGCGATCGCGTTGAGTGACCACTAGGCGTCGGTGTCTTTTGTTATCAGTCCGTAGCATCCGTACTGCAATGAGTACAAGGAGTGTAAGAATGAAAGCCCCGGCTATAGGCACTGCGATAACGGCTGCTTTGAACCAAAGGTCGCCATTGTCATGTCGTTCTGTGTAGCTGCCCGCGTGGGACATATGATTCTGTTTGCGTCCTGATCGATTGGAAGAACCGGAAATGAAAAAAGAAAAAAGAGAGAAATAACATTAATATAAATCCAAAGTAAAAGCTGTGATCAAGGTGTTTTCTATCGTTAACTCTGACTTAAGATATATCTTGGCAATACGATATTGAAATCAAAAGGTAATATAGGCAAGTATAATAATGACTAAAAATTGATTTTAATAACTTTTGTTTTCAGTCAGAAGCTGTGATTGTGCTGTTTTCGATGATTAGTTCACATAGCATGACTATAACGATTCACTCTACGTGATAGATAGATAGATATGAACAAGCTGAAATAGAGTGATAGGAACAGGAAAATAGAGCGAGGTGAATAGAGTGGAATATGACCAGAGTAAGATAGATAGATAGATAGATAGATAGATAGATAGATAGATATGAAGAAACTGAGATAGATAGATAGATAGATAGATAGATAGATAGATAGATAGATAGATATCTATCTATCTAGATAGATAGATAGATTTCATTCTCTTCATCTCTCTCTCGAACGCTCTCTTTCTCTCTCGCTCTGTCTCTCTCGCTCGCTCTCTCACTCTCTCTTGCTCACTCGCTCTCTCTATTTCTATCTCTCTCTCTCTCTCTACTATGCACATCGACAAAAAAGAGATAAAAATACTAACAGAGACAGTTTTTGGAATATTTATATATTTTGTCCTTGATTGGCTCTGAAGAGTGAGGATTGATAAGTAGTTAGCGCGTTTTTGTTCTTTCTTCTTTGTTGTCATATTAATAAACTGTTTGTTTCTCATCCTTTCTCTTATTCTCCCCTTTGTTTTATATTTCGGCATATGTTTATAAATACTTTTAAGATGCGCGTTTTTAAGATCCTAATATTTTTTTTAACTTCCGAAAGTTCATTTAAATGTTTAATGTTTGTTTTGAAAAAGTTTACTTTCAAAAAAAACTTCATAAAACCTGTACAGTTCTAGTTTCTAAATTTGGGTCAAACTGCAGATGAAATGCAAGAATTGTTTTGTTTTTTTGCCTCTGATTGTTATTGAAGAGAGAGATATTTTGAATAAGAAAGGAAAGGAAGACTTAGGAATGAGAAGTCCGAAGGGGAAAAAAGGAATGGTATAAAATGAAATGTCGCTAAGAAGAAAGAAAGAAGGAAGGAAGGAAGAAAGAAGGAAGGAAGGAAGGAAGGAAAAAGAAAGAAGGTTCCAAGATGAGAGACGTAGGTAAAAAAAAGAGGAAGTTCAATCGGGGAAGAAAGAAACAAAGAAAAAGAAAGAAAATCAAAAAAGATTCAAAGGTGAGAGAGATAGATAAAAAGGGAAGACAGGTAAAGAAAGAAAGAAAGAAAGAAAGAAAAAAAGATTCCAAGGTGACAGAGGTAGGTAAAAAAAAGAGAAATGTCAATCGAGGAAGAAAGAAAAAGAAAGAAAAGAAAAAAGATTCAAAGGTGAGAGAGACAGATAAGATGAGAAGACGGGTAAAGAAAGAAAGAAAGAAAGAAAGAAAGAAGATTCCAAGGTGACAGAAGTAGGTAGAAAAAAGAGAAATGTCAATCGAGGAAGGAAGGAAGAAAAAGAAAGAAAAGAAAAAAGATTCAAAAGTGAAAGCGATAGATAAAAAGAGAAGACAGGTCGATAAAGAAAGAAAGAAAGAAAGAAAGAAAGAAAGAAAGAAAGAAAGAAAGGTTGATAAAGAAAGAAAGAAAGAAAGAAAGAAAGAAAGAAATTTGACAAATCCAGAAAAAAGAGAGAAGTGGAAGAAAAAAAGAAGAGTAGAAAAGAATTTTTTTTAAATCCGCACAAAGAAAGAAAGAAAAAAAAAGAAAATTAAAATAATAAGTAAAAGAAATAGAAAAAAAAATGAAGTTGATAATGAAAGAAAGTCATCTTCACAATGACAAGAGATGACCAAAAAATATATATATATAAGATAACGAACGAAAAGATCGAATAAGAAAGTAAAAAAAGAAATATGAAAAAATAATTATGAACTAGGCTTCAAAAATTAGACAGAGAGAGAGAGAGAGAGAGAGAAGAAGAAGAAGAAGAAGAAGAAGAAGAAGAAGAAGTTTTTTCATCGAAAAAGAAAAGCGATGTTGAATGGGGCAAAATGCAGCGCGTGTCATCAGACATAATGTCGTCTTTTTAAGGTCCTCTGTCCTGTGGTGCACCGAAAAGTCGACATGGCACCAAAGGTTAATAAGATTCCGGGACCCGGAACGAAACAGTTGCTTTTCGCCCCTGGCTGCAAGCCGACTGTTACACCATTAAATGTCTTTTATGGCTGTGTCACAAGAATTCTGCTTTTTGAGTCCATCTTTGCGACATGGGGGGGCGACGAGGTAGTAAAAAGGGGATGAGTTAGTTGAGAATGAAGATTGCGAGACAAAGAAAAAATGCGAAGGTAAGTAAGTGATACGTTTGACAGTTATAAAAAAAAGGTCGTTGAGAGTGAGAGAGATGTTTAAGTTTGTTTAAATCAGCAAGGGAAAAGAAAGAGAAGAGAAGAAAGAAGTGCCGAGAGAAAGAGAGAGTAAGGAATAAAAGAGAGGGAAAAAGGACAGCGTGAGAAGAGGAGAAAGAGAGTAAGGGAAGAGAAGGAAGAAGTGCCGAGAGAAAGAGATAGAAATGAATAAACGATAGAGAAAGAGGACAGAGTGAGGAGAAAAGGAAGAAAGCAAGGGAAGAGGAGAAAGTGCTGTGAAAAAAGAGAGAGAAAGGAATAAACGAAAGAGAAAATGGACAGTGTGAGAAGAGGGGAAAGGTAACAAGAGAAGAAAAGAAAATGTCGAGAGAAAGAGAGAGAAAGGAATAAACGAGAGAGAAAAAGGACAGCGCGAGAAGAGAAAATGAAACGTAAAAGAAAGATGGGAAGTAAATAGAGAAAGAGAAAGGAGAAATTAGTGAAAGAGAAGGGAAAGTGACGAGAGTGAAGTAAGAAGGGGGAAAATTAGAAAGAAGGAGAAATGAAAGGGAGAAAAGAGAGGGAAAGGGTGAAGATGAATTAGAAAAGAATAAAATAGACGAAAGAGAGGCGAGAGATAAAGAATAGAATCGATTAATCTCGAGAAACCGGTAAAAGAAAAGAGAAGAGAAGAAAGAGGGAGAAGAAAGAGAAGAGAGAGAAGAAAGAGAGAGAAAAAAGAGAGAAAGGAAAGAGAAGAAAGTGAGAAAGGAAAGAAAAGAAAGAGAGAGAAGAAATAGAAGAAAGAGAGAGAAGAAAAAGAGTGAAGAAAGAGAAGGAAGAGAGAGAAGAAAGAGACAAAAGAGAAGAACGAGAGAGAAGAAAGAGAGAAAGGAAAGATAAGAAAGTGACAAAGGAAAGAAAAGAAAGAGAGAGAAAAAATAGAAAAAAGAGAGAGAAGAAAGAGAGAGAAAAGAAAGAGAGAGAGAAGAAATAGAAGAAAGATAGAGAAGAAAGAGAGAGAAGAAAAGAGAAGAAAGTGAGAAAGGAAAGAAAAGAAAGAGAAAGAGAAAGAAGAAATAGAAGAAAGAGAGAGAAGAAATAGATGAAAGAGAGAGAAGAAAGAGAAGAAAGAGGGAGAAGAAAGAGGAGAAAGGAAAGAGAAGAGAGAAAGGAAAGAGAAGAAAGGGAGAAAAGAAAGAGAAGAAAGAGTTAGAAGAAATAGAAGAAAGATAGAGAGAAGAAAGAGAGAGAAGAAAGAGAAGAAAGAGGGAGAAGAAAAAGAGTGAAGAAAGAGAAGGACGAGAGAGAAGAAAGAGGGAGAAGAAAAAGAGTGAAGAAAGAGAAGGAAGAGAGAGTTTAAAGAGATATGGAACTGAGAATGAGTAGGCATCAGAGATAAAATAGAGGTTAAATAAAGACAAAGGAAACATCGAGCTGAGAGAGAAATAAAGAAGGGAATATGAGAGACACGAAAGGTGTGCGGATGGTGCAATAGATAGTGTCTCCCAATGAAGAGAGCTAAGTTCGAATTCTAGCTAAGTTCATTAGATTCATTTACGTGCATGGGAAAGGTAAGAATCTATCTCCACTAGAAATTGTGGATTAAAAATCGTTGTTATCGCCCCCAAATTGAATTATTCACACCAAAAAGAAAACTAATTATTCTAAAAATACACACTATGTCCCGGTTTAAAATAAGCCACAAAGATTAGCTAACCCACCCCCCCAGAAAAAAGAGAGGGGAAGAAAATAAACAGAGTCAGAGTAAGGTACGGGTGAAGGGGTAAGTTAAGTTATAATAGATGTTCTTCGTAATTTTAAAAACACAAAGAGACAGAAACGTATTCCCCAGACGAGAAAACGTTTCTATTTTTACTTATATATGAAATTAAATAAGCTTGAAGCTCTCATATTTAAATATACAAAATGAGGTAAAAATCGCACAGCATAGAAGTCCTGATGAGTGGCCACCGAGGTTACCTTGGAGATTTTCAGGGTGTCTATTTAAACATGGATATCCATTAAAAAACTTTTAAAGTGATAAAACCTGTCGGATTAATAAACAAAAATCTATTACCTCTTTAGAATATATATATATATATATATATATATATATATATATATATATATATATATATATATATATAATTGGTATATATGGAATGAATTCAATAACCAACAATTACTATTCTTAAAAGAGTGCTCAGTACAAAGTAGAGCAGATATAATTATTTTTTTAAAAAAAATTATAACATAAATATGTTATAAAATCACTCCAAAAATAGCCATTTTGTTTCAACACCCTCGGTGTCTTATCAAGATGGCTATTTTTGTAGTGATTTTATAACATATTTATATTATAAATTTTTTTTTTATAAAAAATAATTATATATATATATATATATATATATATATATATATATGTGTGTGTGTGTGTGTGTGTGTGTGTGTGTGTGTGTTTTGAACAATAAAAAAATATTGAGAAATTAAAAAAATAAATTTTTCAAGCACAATGGGTTATAAATTAATATTTTTGTTTTATTATTTTAATTAGATTCCTCGACTAGTTTTGGCTAGCGTGGCCATCATCAGGAGAAAAAAAACAAATTCTGCTTGTTAATAGCAGTGAACTACAGAGAACTGGTGCTCATTATGCCACAAGGCCCCCAAACGACCCTCTCTGCAGGTTTTCAATTCTCCTTTTCCAAGACCGGTTGCGACCCAAGGCTAGAGAACCCAGTCTGTCCTGCTATCGACCCACAAGAAGAGAGAGAGGAGAAGGATTCATAAATTTCCTAAGGTTATTAGCACGTAAGTGAATAAAATAAATTCGACTGGAATTCGAACTCAGCTCTCCGATTCTCCAATCCGAGGCGCTATCCAGCGTGTCCGCTATAATTCTTAGATTACTCATGCAGATAATATGACAAATGCATTAGACAATTGATTCTTCGCCGTTTTTTTTTGTTTGTTTGTTTATTTTTTGTGTTTTCGGGATTCAGAATGAATTCTTTCAGACCTTTAAGAATTGTTAGGACCTATTTCAAATCTTAATTTAAATTAAGTGAACGATTGGCGATATTGAAAGATTGAGACTTTTCAGACATTGAGCAATTTGTGATTGAATCAAAAATACATAAGAAGAGGAGAGGCAAGAATAGCAAAAGGGTGAAAGTGACGGTAAGAAGAACAAAAGATGTTCAAGAGAAAGAGAGAGATTTAGTAATAGGAAACGCAACTAGAGGAGGGGAGGAAAACGAAGAAGAAAGGAAAGAAGAAAAACGGAGAGAAAGAGAGAATGTGAAGAAACAATAGAAGCCAAAGAGGAAAAAAAAAGAGTTATTCGAAGAAAGTTAAAGAAAGTGAAAGAAAAAGGATGAGAAGAAGTGGGAGAGAGACTGACGAAATAAAAATAAATTAAATAAGAGAGAGAGCTGAAAGAGAAAAATGCAAATGAGATGAAAAGGTGAAGGTTAATTAGAAAAGAAGGAGAGAAAGATATAAAGACACTCTTTAGTACGAAGGACCATTTTATTTATTTGCAATCCTTCAGTGAGCAACTGGCACATTTGAAAGACGCATTAGAAACATTTCTTATTTAGGAGTATGTTAATGAAACATTTTTAACTTTCAGCTTTGAAACAATCTGCATATAACGTCGAACTGTTTCTTGCACAAAGATTCTGTCTCCTTACGCTCTCCTGGCCATTACACAGCGTACATATCTGAGCCTCCTTTTCGTCAAGAAGCTAACACGTGATGTCGGGTTTTCAAGTCCGACTGTTTGAAAAAAAAAAGGGAAGGTAGAAATATTATAAGATCAACTATTAGCATTTAAAGCGAAACACGGCGAAGAAATTCGGTTCTCTCTGTCGCAGCAGAAGAGCCTCTCCTTTCAAATCCGAGAAAATCCAGAGACGGATATGCAAACTGATAGGTCCTGATCTGGCAACACGTCTACAGCCACTTTCTCACAGACGTGCTGTGGCTTCCCTCTGTCTTTTCTACAAATATTTTCTGCTGTAACGAGATACTTTCACTGGTACAAAAACTGCATCAATTTAAGCGTGCTACAAGTTTGGCATCTCGGTACCATCCTTTCACTGTAGAAACAGTTACATATAGCCGCCTCTTTTACTTCAACAGCTTCTTCTCATGCCCTTCCCGACAGTGAAACTCCCTTCCTCTTATATACTTCCCTGATAGCTATAATCTTCAAATATTCAAAAGTAATATCAATCGAAATTTTCTAATGCCTTGATTGCCGTCCTTCTCTATATCCTTTGCTCAAGCAAACATCTTTATTCATACACTCACACTCTGTAGCCGCTTGCGTGCTAGTGGCACTCCCGCCTTGCTTAGGGTGAAAGAGAACGTAGGCTTAAGGAAATTGTAAACGATATGCCTACAAAAGAACAGTATGAGAGAAAAGTGTATGAGGCTAAGTCAGTGGTTTCAAAACGGTGGATGCATCTCATAGGTGAGACGGAAGAGGATAGCAGGTGAGGCGGAAGAAGATAGCAGGTGAGACGGAAGAGGATAGCAGATGAGTTGGAAGAGGATAGCAAGTGAGGTGGAAGACGATTGCAGGAGAGGCGGAAGAGGATAGCAGGTGAGGCGGAAAAGGATAGCAGGTGAGGCGGAAGAGGATAGCGGGTGAGGCGGAAGAGGGTAGCAGATGAGGCGGAATGATTGAAAGATTTGAAAACAGTTCAGAAAATTCAGACGCTAAAAAAAATGTGTTTTCAAAATTTAAAATATTATTATGGATTAATTGTAATTACATGCATGAGTTCCAATATAAACAGTTATAAATAATGAATTACCGATTTTATCATTGTGATATTTTTGCATTATATCAAATATTAAGAATAGATTATTAACTATTGTCCGCAAATCGTAGGAGAGAGTTATCAATGATAATAGTCTGACTTCAAATCACAGTTATCTCCCTTTAACCCTCTCTCTCTCTCTCTCTCTCTCTCTCTCTCTCTCTCTCTCTCTCTCTCTCTGTGTTTTTTTTTAATTTTTAAATGTACACTTCATTACATAAAATTTGGTGAGGCACGAAAGAATGAAATGATAATGAATTCTTACTCGTAACTTGTGTAATTTCGCGGTGGCAATCGTTTATGTCAAATTGCAACAAAAAAAAGAATACAATATGTAGCCTACATCTAATTCGCCTTGTAGAAGTAATGATATAAAATGAATAGTTAGGGCTCTTATTCAGTTTTAGTAACACGTCCAGTTAACTTCAAAAGCGAGAGACAGCAAGGTCGTAACGTAAGCCGGAACAATACTACTACTGCTGCATTTTAGATAACTATTTTAGCGTTTCATATATCTCTTTTCGAACACATACGCAAATTTGACTCCCCCCCTTCAATCAGACTGGAACTCATTTCTATCAATTTTCTGTGAAGACGAAATAACTTTCATTATATTTTCCTTACAGTTGAATTCTCCCATTTCTCCTTTTCCCCAAGAGTTTCGCTAAGGTAAGTGCACAAAGTTTCTAACTTTGTTAGGGTCTCATAAAATACAGACATTGTCGTCGTCATTGTCGTCACAGAGAAGCGCTTGTTTACAAGCATTTAGAAATGTTTACTCAAAGGAATTTTGCTGGGAAAAAGAAGACCACACGCACGCAAAAAAAAAAAAAAAAAAATCGACATAGGTTTAAATCTGTACACTATTTTCATTGATCGGACTATCATCTTTGTTGCCATATTTATCACAACGTTTCTGCCGTTGTACGCTCCGGCCTTCTTCAGGTGGTTGGAATGTCGAATTGAACCCTTTATTTCCCTCACTAGGGTAGACTGTTCTAGTTCCACGTGCCATGTCTAATGGATGTCAGTTATCTCCTGTTAATTCACCTCTCCAACTTCTCCACCGCCTTAACCAGGTATTGAACTCACAACTCCTGACACTGGATCTAACTAACGTCTTTATCCAAAGAATTTTTAAAGATGTCTTTTATAAAACAAAGAGAAGCTACTCGGTAAAAAAAAAGTTGAAAGTATGAAGAAAATTCCATTACAAGTATCGCGTCTGTCTATATTTCTGAGATGAGGTATTATGTACAGTATTTACATTAGTCGGACTATTGTCCTCATCTTTGTCGCCATATTTGTCACAACGTTTCGGCCGTTGTACGCTCCGGCCTCCTTCAGGTGGTCAATAGTCCGACTAATGTAAATACTGTACAAGTATCGCTTGTTTATCGAAAGTTCCCTTAACGCCACTTCGCTTTTACGAAAGACCAACATTAGTAAAAGTTTCCCAATAGTAGCACAAACGAAGAAGTACCATTTATTAATTACAAGCAACGCTTGTAAGCTTTCCCATGTTCCAGTAATTTGCTAAGACCGATATAGATTACATTTTATTCAACTGCTTAGCCTCATGCACTTCTCTCTCATAATGTTCTTTTGTATATAGTTTGTAGCTTACGGTAGGATAGACTGATTTCTGTGGTTACCAAAGTTTTTTTATGGGCCACATCTTCGGAATTAAAATTTGCCCGCGCCTCAGCAAATTTTATGTGATAAAGTGTACATTTAAAACTTAAAAAATACATAGAGAGAATTCAAAGGGAGATAACTGTGATTTGAAGCCAGAATATTATCATTGATAACTCTCTCCTACAATTTGCGAACAATAATTACTCTATTCATAAAACTTGATATAATGTAAAAATATCACAGTGATAAAATCGGTAATTCATTATTTATAACTGTTTATACTGGGACTCATGCATGTAATTACAATTAATCCATAATAATAGTTTGAATATTGAAATCACATTTATTTTTAGCATATGATTTTTAAAAAATGTTTTAAAATCTTTGAATGTCTTTAAATCATTCCGCCTCACCTGCTATCCTCTTCTACCTCACCTGCTATCCTCTTCCGCCTCACCTGCTATCCTCTTCAGCCTTTCCAGCTATCCACTTTGGTCTCACCTGCTATCTTCTGCTTTACCTGCTATCCTCTTCTGCCTCACCTGCTATGCTCTTCAGCCTCACCTGCTATCTTCTTCCACCTTACCAGCTATCCTCTTCAGCCTCACCTGCTATCTTCTTCCGCCTCACCTGCTATCTTCTTCTGCTTCACCTGCTGTCCTCTTCCGCCTCATCTGCTATCCTCTTCCGCCTCTCTTCAGCCTATCCTCTTCAGCCTCACCTGCTATCCACTGCCTCTGCATCCACTTCTGCCTACCTCTTCTTCCGCCTCACCTGCTATCCTCTTCCGCCTTTCCAGCTATCCACTTTGGTCTTCCGCCTCTTCTGCTTTACCTGCTATCCTCTTCCACCTGCTATGCTCTTCAGCCTCACCTGCTATCTTCTTCCACCTCATCTGCTATCTCTTCAGCCTCACCTGCTATCTTCTTCCACCTGCTATCTTCTTCTGCTTCACCTGCTGTCCTCTTGGCCTCATCTGCTATCTTCAGCCTTTCCAGCTATTCTTTTCAGCCTGCTATCCTCTTCTGTCTCACCTGCTATCCTGCTTGCCTCAACTGCTATTCCGCCTTTCCAGCTATCCACTTTGGCCTCACCTGCTATCTTCCTTTACCTTCCTCTTCTGCTTTACATGCTATCCTCTTCTGCCTCAACTCCTATGCCTTCTCATCTATCCCTTCCACCTTACCAGCTATCCTCTTCAGCCTCACCTGCTATCTTCTTCCGCCTCACCTGCTATCCTCTTCCGCCTCACCTGACACCTTCTTCCGCCTCACCTGCTATCCTCTTCCGTCTCACCTATGAGATGCGCCCATCGTTTCGAAACCACTGACTTAGCCTCATACATTTTTCCTTCATACTGTTCTTTTGTAGGCATATCGTTTAGAATTTTCTTAAGCTTACGTTCCCTTTCAAGCATAAACACGTTTATTTTGGCACGGTCAGGCTTAACTAAGTGTTCCGGTGGGGTGCTTTAGAAAATTCGGCTACGGAGAGCTTCAGAGCCAATCAAGGTCCTATTTGCCTCAATCCACACCTCTTCGTTCTCGAAAGCCCACATTTGCTCAGTTTCGTTTCTGAAACTTCAACATAAACCTCTAATATTCAACACACATAAACTTAGCCCGAAAATATCGGCTCTCAGAGTCTCACTGATTGTGTCAAAGTTTCACTCTTTGCATGATTCCTTCGTTATTTTTTAATCATTTCACCCCAAGCAAGGCAATAAAGCCACTAGGAAGCAAAAGTTTACTAGGAGTTAGATAATATGAGAAAATTACTATTAACAAGAGAGGAAAATAAAAAGGACAAGAATTAAGAAAATAACGATTGACATTCCATTTAAATATTTGAAGATCTAACTTGACTGGAAATCAAGAAGCCAGAAGAGTGATAAAAGAAACTCTTAGCATAGTTGGATCTTGCCATTTCAACTGAAAAAAATGATGAGAGCTTTGCGATGAAGTTGCTGTCTATTATGGCAGGGTAAACATTGGCTGTGAGGCTCATGCCACATAAAAACTTATATTCGATCAAAGAAGATTTGCACCAAAACTCAGCTCAATAAATATCAGCTGAAGGAAGCCGGCGCGTACAACGGCCAAAACGTCGTGAATATGGCAATGAATATGAGGACAACGGTCCGAAAAGTGCCAATAGTGTAAATAGTTAAAATGCCTCAACTCAGAAATATAGACATGTCCTGAAGAAGGCCAGACCGTACAATGGCCGAAACGTCTTGAATATGGCAATAAAGATGAGGGAAACGGTTCAAATGATGTAAATAGTTGTAATTACTTAAAATATCTATCTTGGAAATATAGACATATCCTGAAGAAGACAGAGCGTATAACAGCCGAAACGTTGTGAATATAACAATAAAGATGAGGACAGTGGTCCGAACAATGCCAATAGTGTAGTTACAATACCTCATATCAGAAATATAGACAGATAGAAGGCCGAAGCGTACAACAGCCGAAACATCTTGAATATGGCAATAAAAATGAGGACAACGGTCCGAATAATCTAAATAGTTGTAAATAGGTACAATATCTTATTTTAGAAATACAGACAGATACTGAAGAAGGCCGGAGCATACAACAACCGAACAATGTCAATAGTGTAAATAGTTACAATAACTCATCTATTATTGATATAGAATGAAGTAGAGAGAAACTTACCTCTTTGTATGCTCCCATTTGATTGTGTATTCGTCGCAAATTGAACGCTACGCATGTTCTTTTCGTAATTGCACATGTCTTTTTTACAACAGAGGAGTAAAGGAGAGAATTCACCTTCGAGTGATGTACTCGTGCGAATGATGTCATTGGATTGTCCTTTGCTGTTGCCACTGCACAGGTCCCGGTGGGCCGTTCGTAGGTTCTCGGCACATCCATGAACGGACAACGTGTTCTCGTTAATGTCCATCTCCTCACGTTGAAGAAGCGAATAGCACATTCCGAGACGAGATTTACACATGTATCCTGTACTGATGCAACCGGATTCATTGCAGTGACATCGAATTTCGCCTGCAATTAATAAAAGGAAAATACCGTATATAGATATATATAGACAACGTGACCATGTTTTAAACGGAGCGCTGATCTTATAAAACTTTCAGTTATTTGTTTGGATAAGTCTTGTTCTTATGTACATCGTCTTTGTCATGTTGTATTGATAATGTTATAATTTATGAATATGTCCTGAAGATGGTTTATTAGACCGAAACGTTCGACGTTGACATATTAACATTAAAACAGCATAATTGTATATAAGGATTTTGTTTTTTTTCCGTATATATTTTTTCTTTATAATGTCGGATTTATATCCATATATTTGCTTACATATATATATATATGTATATATACATATATATATATATATATATATATATATATATATATATATTAAGAGAGACGGAGAGAGAGAGAGATAGAGAGAGAGAGACAGAGAGAGACAGAGAGAGAGACAGAGATAGAGATAGACAGAGAGAAAGAGACATATTAATGTTTATTTCTGACAAGGAAAATTTAATTAATCTTTTATTAAGTTTTTCCAGCATTCTAACAGTTTACCGTTTTTCAGGATTTAAAGAATATCGGAATTGCCCATAATTATAATTGTTCTAAGCCCTTTCGCCAAGTTCTCTAGCCATTATCAAGGATGTTGTTTGGATGGTGAATTTCTTTACGTGACTTCTTTATAGTAGACTGTGTGGAGAACGTTGTATGCTTTTTTTTTTTTTTTTTTTTTGCATATATTCGAGGTACCAATGATGGAAGCCCATCAAAGAATTGCCATGAAAATATGCATAAAAGAAGCTAGGTAACGGCGGTCAAGAATTGACTGATGCCGAGATGACAGGTCAGGACCGATTACGTTGCAGATTTTTCTTATGATTTTTTCAAGAATCTTTAAATATAAAAACGAAACACCAAATCAGAACAGATGTGACAACAATATTCAATGTCTGGAGAAGTTTTATTTTTTAAACGTTTCACCCCAATCAAGGCGGGAAGCCACTAGCACACAAGGGGTTACAGAGAATTGGAGTAAGAGTAAATAGGAGTGATAGAGGAAAGGATGAAGAGAAGGATAGGGGATAGATCAGGGCATCTGGGGACGTCGATTGACATTACATCTGAATAGTTGGAGATTATAGCTATCAGGAAAACAAGAAACAGGGAGGGAGTTCCACAGGTGAGAAGTGCGATCCATGAAGCTATTGGAGTAGAAGAGAGAGCTATATTTAACAGTTTCGACAGTGAAAGGGTGAGAGCGAGATACCAGCCTAGTAGAACGCTTAAATTCATGAAGTCTGGGAACCAGCGAAAGCAGCTCCTCAGAGCAGTTACCATAAAGGTATTTGTAAAAAAGACAGAGGGAGGCGACGTCACGTCTGCGAGAGAGTGACTGCAGACTTATAGTAGACTTATAAAAGGTTAATCTAGTTTTTGGTGAGAAAGACTGTCTAGTATGACATAGTGAACGAACATTACTAGTAGCAGACTTAGTAATTGATTAATATAATCATACCACTTCATGTCAGTGGAATACGCGAGACTGAGGGGCAGTGAGTTCCCCTTCTGGGGTTAGCCATATCAGAATTTGAGGGCGGAGAAGAGATACTTAGTCGGGCAAAGAACATTTCAGCGTATCCTCGTATATACAGAGGGTCCATAAAGTTCGTGTGCATTTTAAAGTTTTTTTTTTAATTTTAAAAGAGTGCACACGAACACTTAGAGGCGACAGTTTCATGCTAGACGCAATCATCGGTGGCCTGACGATTGCGTCTAGCATGAAACAGCTTGTCGCCTCTAAGTGTTGACTTCAATGTTCACTTTTAAATTTTCACACGCTCTGACATTGAGCACTTTATCCCATAAATGTAGCACATCTTAAGAGTATATTTCTTCACACACAAACACACACACATCTATCTATCTATCTAGCTATCTATCTATCTATCTATCTATATATATATATATATATATATATATACATGTTTTATCAAAAACGACAGACAAGTTACTACAGTTAAGCTTTTTATTTATTTTTTCTTATGTTCGCACAAGAGCTTGGGGGGGCAGAGTGTCTAGAAACTGTCCAAATGTTTTATAATTCCGACCGCTTTCGGTTATATATTTAGCCATTATCAAGGATGATTTTATTTATTAAGTTTAATTGAGTGTGTGTGTTGTGTGTATGTTTTTAGTGTGTTATTTTCCGAACACGGTTAGCACACTGTGGCCTCGTTCGTAGTTGATATTCTTAAGAGTTGCCTTTTTCTTTTTTATTATTAGAGCATCCATTATTTTTAATCATTTTTTACAACTGGATGAGGTTATTATGTTCGTGTAAACCTCATCCACTTGTAAAAAAGATTTTTAAAAATTTAGAAAGAATGGAAGCACTAATAATATAATAATTTTGTCTTTTTACGGCAGTCATAAACTTTTGTACCACAAAACATATATATATATATATATATATATATATATATATATATATATATATATATATATATATATATGTATGAATTGAACTCTTATGCTGAGTGATACGAGTAAATTTGGTCATTTTTCGCTATTACGGTTTTCTTGAGCATAATATGTCTCTCAGGATTACTTTCAGCAAAGATCGTAAACGGTAATTTGACACACCGTGTACAATAAGGCTTAATCATGTCGGGGAGCATACATGAAATGTACTTTTCGCCTTATATCAGTTGAGCAATCGATATTCAAGATAAGCACTCGACCTCATTTCTAAGCTATCGATCAATTCAAATATATTCAAATCTTTGATGAATATTTAGCTGCACATATATAATATTAGTGGTCAATACACACACACACACACACACACACACACATATATATATATATATATATATATATATATATATATATATATATATATATATATATATATATATATATACATACATATATATATATATATATATAAATATATATATATATATATACATACATACATACATATATATATAAAAAATATATATATATATATATACATACATACATATATAAAAAAATATATATATATATATACATACACATACATATATATATAAAAAATATATATATATATATACATACATATATATATAAAATATATATATATATATATATATATATATATATATATATATATATATACATACATTCATAAAAATATATAGATACATATATATATATACATACATAAAAAATATATATACATATATATATACATACATACATAAAATATATAGATACATATATATATACATACATACATAA